TAATAATAATAATAATAATAATAATAAAGAATAAGAATAAGAATAAGAATAAGAATAAGAAGAAAGAAGGGAATAACGGAAATATAGCATCAGAATTTCACCTAGTTTAGGGAGGTGTTGGAGAGTCTTTTTTTGTGATTTTCGTCGGCCTTTCTTCTTAGGATTTATACTAAGTTTGTTGTTTGTCATCGCCACCAACATTGATAAAATGCTTGTTCTCGCCACTAAAATTAATGTTTGCCATCACAATTAATTATAATACTCACCATTAACACAAACGATGATACACATTACTACTACTAATAACAACACTCGATGTTATTGTTCCGGGCTAGAATATACACGGCGGTAGAGTTAGAATATTATGTCTTAGCGTTGTACGGATATACAGCTCACACATAGAGAACACAAGATTTTTTACATGGAAAATCCTGAAAAGGGAAAAACTCATGAGGCCTGGCACAGTTGAAAAAGATTTCACCAGACTTCGAGTAGATTACAGTGGGTTGACTCGCCCTCAAGGGCGATCAAATTACAAATATCAACTGTATGGTTGAAGTCGGTGGTAGATAAGAGTCAGAATGATGTCACTTGGTAGTCTGGCAGATCTTTGAGGTTACTTAGAAAATTGGGTGTCAGTTGGTAGTTCAACGGTGGTTTGGCAAAGCTTCGGCGTCGGGCGGTGGTCTGACAGAATTTTGACATCGGACAGTGGTCTGGCAGAACTTCTGCGTCGGCCGGTGGTCCGATAGAACTCCGGGTGTGACGTGGTGGTGAGGCGGAACTCCGAGCGTCAAGTAGCGGTCAAGCGGAACTCCGGGGCGATGGTCGAGGAGGCAAGAGTGATCTTCGGTCTCTCTCTTTTTTTCTCAGGCTTTAGGGTCCCTTTTCAAGAGGAAGGAATGCTCTAATTATAGATTTTCTAGATAGACATGACCCGTAAATAGGAGGAAGATAAAGGGTAAATGGAAAATGGTTTAGCTGGACGGCGGATGTTGAATCCTTTGATCGTGGACCATTTGCTAAACATTTGAAGCATGTCATGTTTGGAACTCTGTGATTTTTTCAAACATGTTGGATTTGTTTCATTGAGTCGCTCGATTCGGATATAAGCGTGTCATGTTTGGAAACTATTTGAATTGAGTCAAATTTGGTGTTGTTGGGTTCGTATTTTTGAGATGTTCAGTTCGAATATAAGTTAGTGGAAATCAGAGTTCGGATGGTCCCAATTTTAATTTCGAAAGTTTTCAACCTGATTTTGGCTCGAGATTCGTACTCGATCATGATAATTTTTTAATGATGTATCAGTTATCACCAGCACCTATGTCTAATGTTGTTAACAAGCACGACCACCCCCTTTAGCACTAACACTGAATCATGTCATTGCCAATAATATTGATACCTACTATTAGCAATTTGTGGATGATCGCCATTGCCATATAAATTGATTTCCACCCTTACTTCCAAAGCTAGTGCTCACCTTGTTCATCACCATTCTCCCTCTTATAAAAAGAATGAAAGAGCATATCATCAATTGTATATATCCATAGATTTTTCTCCTCTATTCCAACTCATCAAAAGAAGACAGCCGATTTTATTTTTAGAGAAAAAACGAAGATTTGTCATAACTATGGTGACCTCAGACATCTCCCATCTAATCCAATCCCTCCATTTTTTTTTTTTGGGACGGTTAGGAGATTAGAGCCCAGATGAGATAGGAGGAATTTCTTCCGTTTACCACTCGGCTGCAAACCCGATCTCAATCCCTCCACTTAGGACAATCATTTCTACTTTTAGATGAAGATTGGAATGTCACATTAGCAATCACAAACATCAAATGGTGCCCCCAATTATGCCTCATGCGCAATAAAATTTATACAATACAATAAAATTTGTTTATAAAGAGCTTTCTCTTGCATTAATAGCCCTAAGTTTGTACTAGAAGCTGCTTTAGAAAGTAGTAAGAAAGTTACCCCAAACAAAACCTAACATTAAATTCGCTTACTAAGACTATCTCCAATGGAACGACAAACCATTGTTTGCCGTTCTTCCGTCGCTCCAACCGAGCGGCAATTTTGTCGTCATTTCATCGCGGGTGAATCTTGCGACGCCAATATCAGCGTCGTACAGTTCACCCGCTAAATTTTTATGTGACAACGGGATTTGCCCGCGAAATGGAGAAAGGCGGTTACGAGACGACGAATCGCGCGAAATGGAGTTCGATTGGAGCAAAGCTACTGAATTTTGAAATTTTGCCACATTTTGCAGTGAAAAATGGGGTTTTCGGTTGGAGATCCCTAACACAAGTAGGTGCTATTAAATCCTCTTTAATGTCTCATCAGAATATTTATTATTCGAAGATAAAACGCATTACCAGTAATGCTCTACTGAGTAAACTTCCTCTTAGTGCAGGTCTTCATCAGAAGATACAATCTAAAATAACAAAGTAAGCTAATCAATTGCTAGTTGGCAAATAGAGCCATTTATTTCTTAATAATATTACTAAAATAAAAGTTTAAATAATAACAATCTTAATAATAGTATGAGTGGAAAATGATTGATGACAAAGGCTCCTATCATTTATGATTTTATTATGATCATATAAATTAATTTATGGAATATTTATATTTTTATAAAAGAATATGATAATTTAATTTAATATGATGTAATAAAAATGTTTTTAAATTATTTTTGAGAAGCACAAAGTTCAAATTTAATTTGGTCATAAATTTAATATTGCCGGCCCATAGTGTAAGGAAATGTGGTACATTTGTAAAGAATTGTGTTGGATTTTTTTGTTAATGCATTACAAATTTTATTAAAAAAAAAAAGAGGGTTATAATGCAGTGCTTTATGTAAAGTGCTATTCTGCCATGCAATGTATACTTATTTTGTGAATTTATGCTTTTTGCATTAAAGTTAAAGAATAATTTAGATAGTTTTGTTAAAAAATAATGAAAAAATAATAATTTTCTTTTACATAATGGACTATAAATAAAAATAAACACAATTTCACTTTCACTAACAAAGCAACTTTCTAGCAACAATAAAAAAATTGTGGTAAAAAATTGTCTCAAATGTAGGCTTTGTATATGGCAGTTTTTTTAATACTTTCTAAAACATGTTTTAGTACAAAAATTTTAAAATTAAAAAAATTTAAACTAGAAAGCTGCTCCAGAAAGAGGAAGAAACCCGTTCCAAAACGAAGCCTTAATTAGAAAATTTTGTGATGGAAATTATTTTTGCAATCAAATATACTATAATGTGCGCAAGTGGCGGAGCCCACAAGTCCTTATAGGGGAGGGGAACAAATAATTTTTATTGTTATAGCTATGTGCTCGGAGATCACAAAGAGATTCTTAATGCTGTAGGAAATGGCGTAGGTGGAGGGTTTAGGTCCATAGGTGAAGACGTATAGGACGAACAGGTAAATAGTGAGGACAGAGGTGAACGTGACGAGTTGGAGAGTAGATGAGCACATGGTGGCATGCCGGAATTGGGCGGTGCATTTACCATTCTTAAGGGAAATTGATCTCATCACTGGTGGCTTCAACATCGGTTACTGGAAGAGTATGGCCGGTCACCTATCGTCGCCCGCGATTGTTTACCATCAAATGGAAGAATGGAGGGGCACAGAGAGTTGCAAGCTTGTGACCGAAGAACTAAGCTTAGAGCATCCTAAATCTGCCACTGGTGAGAGCTATAAAGAAAATTATTGTTCAACTTTTAAAAAAGATTATATTTATAATAACTATAATAGGTTTAAAGAAACTCACTTTTTAAACAACAACTTCACAATTATTTTTTTTAAAAGCTAAGGTGATCACTAGTAAACACTTAGGCTTAGGCTTCGTTTGGGACGGCTTTTTTATTGCTTTCTAAAACGGAGTTTTAGTACAAATTGTTTTATTTTTGTACAAAAACTCTATTTTAGAAAGCAATAAAAAAGCCGTCCCAATTTGCGAAAACATATTTAGTGCTTAATTATATATATTATCCCAGGCCCAGCTGTCCCATTTCGCGCTGGAAGGCTTATAAATTATTCCACTCCCTTATCATTGGAAGTCGAATCTTACTTATCTCGCTCGTGCTTCTTCGTCTTCCTCCTCCCTCTTCATGGACGTGGAGGTAGGCGGCGACGGCGAAAGTCCGGCGACCGGGAAATGTTTTGCTCGGTGTCTTCCCCGGGAGACCAGCGTGTGTTGTTGAAGCTTTTTCAATCAATTAAAATACAGGCCTTCCTTTCTGTTTTATTGTTTTTTTTTTCCAAGTTTGTCTATCTATTTTTCTTTCGTTGATCAGAATTCCAGTTTCCGCAGAGATTTTATTCTGGCTTATAAGACACTGGGAGTTGTGTTTGGTGGCCTCGTCACATCTCCTCTCTATGTTTATCCCTCCATGAACTTAGAATCCCCTACAGAAGAAGATTATTTGGGAATTTACAGTATCATGTTCTGGACACTGACTTTAATTGGGGTGGTGAAGTACATTTGTATTGCTCTGAATGCTGACGATAATGGTGAAGGTAATAAATTATTACAGTTCTGTTTGGGAATTTATAACAAATTAAAGAAACTCTTTTTTGGTTGCTTGCTTTATGATGTTCTTTCTATGGGCTTCTGATCGATTTACTATCCTTTCTGCAGAGATCTCTAAATGCTAAGTAAACTTGCAGATATATCTTATGATTTGGATTCTTTGCTTTTGTTACTCTTTCTGTAGAGTTTTAATAATTCGCTGCACTTTCTTCTGATATCTTATGGATGCATCCTTCATGTTTGTATTTATGTATGAAGGTATTCTTATGATGATTCTTGCATATGCATACATGTAGGTACATACTCATGACATACTAATATATGTGCACATGCATGATTTTATGTACATGTTTATTGATGTATATATGTTAGTAGTTAGTACATAGCATATGCATGTATGTATATATACTGCCATGCAAGTATTTATGTGTGCAAATCAAGTGTGTGGATTGTAAGATTAAAAGTTGTTCTCGAACTCTAGCTTGCAAAAACTCTCAACATGCATAAAATAAATTCTCTAACTAATTCTTACAAGATGTCGCAACATAACTTATGAGTTCTCTAACTCTTATAAGAACTCGCATTATAAATTATGTAAAAGAAATTCAAACAAAAATATAAATTTACATAATTAAATCTTAAATCCACATTAAACAAGATGATTTTTTTAAAGATTTTAATCAGAAGAAAACATACTTTGATTCATGTTTGTTGAATTCGTTGACTTCTGAACTACGGTTTCTTTCCCTTTTCCATTTCACTTTAATTTTTCCTTCATGAGTTAATTCTCTATAGAACAAATTAACTCCTATAATGAGAGAGAGAGGACCAGTAATTATTTCCTATGGATTAGTTATAATAACCGTTCATAAAAGTTAATTTGATCAAACGGTTCATAAACGATTGATCAAATTATTTCTTCTTGACCAATAGGATTTCATATAAATAATTAAATTTCAATAATCCAAATATATGGGTCACTTAATTGCTTATATAATTAAATATATATACTTAAAATAACTATTGCGATGTCTCGCATAATTATTATATTTAATTATTCTAACATGGATTTATTATATGAGATACGAATGTATTGAATATACATTAAGAAAAGCTTTTTCTTCATATCTTGCTAAGACTTCTAGTAATTATAGGCTTTTTAGTTCTCTAAGATGTAGAAATCAATGAAATAAGCCACTTATGTTCAATTTCAGCTTGAATATTATGATAGACGTTTAAAGAACAAATAGAATTTGAATTTATACAGTTTGATAGTTTATGAAAAACTTACTTCTGATGGATTTTGATGAGTTTGCTTATGGATTATAAATTTGTTAGGTGGCACTTTTGCTCTCTATTCCCTACTTTGTAAGCACATTAACATTGGCAGCTCTCTTCAATCAAAGAGTGTCAATTCAAGGACAATATTTTCTTATTCTGATGGAGCTATGGTAACAGAAACAAGAAATAAACTCGGAAAGTTTTTAGAGAAAAATATAATAGCACAAAGGATTGTGCTGTTCATAGCAATGTCAGGAGTCTGCATGCTTATTGGTGATGGCATACTTACACCAGCTATTTCAGGTACTTGTTACCATCTCTCTTTGCATTAAGGGATAACCTTTTGTATCCCTACTGACAGTTTTAACCATCTTTTGTTCAGTTCTATCAGCAATTGAGGGACTTCGAGGTCCTTTCCCTTCAGTAAGCAAAGGTAAAGTTTTCAGATAGAATATTAATATAAATAATAGCCTCCACTAACTTTAGATATAAATATTGTAGTCGTTGTGGAGGGTCTTTCTGTTGCTGTGTTGCTTGCTCTTTTCCTCTTGCAAAAGCATGGCACTTCCCGAGTGAGTTTTCTATTTTCTCCAATCATGGGTGCCTGGACCTTTACTACTCCCATAATAGGCCTATATAGCCTATTAAAGTACTATCCAAGCATATTCAAAGCCTTATCACCTCATTACATTGTACATTTCTTTCTGAGAAATAAAAGCAAAGGTTGGCAATTACTTGGGGGTACCATCTTGTGTATTACAGGTATATTGTTTTGAAACTTTATTATCTTATATGTATTCAAATACATATTGATTGAGTAGTTCTATTCTTTCCTTCTTTTTTTCATCTAGGTGCTGAAGCAATGTTTGCTGATCTAGGCCATTTCAATAAAAGGTCAATTCAGGTATGTGAACCTAGAGAAATTATTCTGTGCGGAGGCCGGATGCAGCTCTATGTCCAGAGACCAATCTAAATGAGAAACAACAACGGTACCAAGTAGTACTGAGTGAAGGGGTGACATGACGCATTCTGGTTGATCTTCCGAGAGTCCGCACAGAATAATTAATCGTGAACCTAATGTTTGATCTTGCATGAGAAAGTGAATTCCTAATTAATAGCTTGGTTATAGAAATTACCATGAAACTTAAATAAATAGTTGATCAATTCCTACATGCAGATGGCCTTTCTCTTGACAATATATCCTTCATTGATCCTCACATATGCCGGCCAAACTGCATATCTCATCCGACATCTAAATGATCACAGTGATGGATTCTATAAATTTGTTCCACACGTTGTGTACTGGCCCATGTTTATCATTGCAACACTTGCAGCAATTGTTGCAAGCCAATCCTTAATATCTGCCTCCTTCTCTGTCATCAAGCAGTCACTGCAACTGGATTACTTTCCTCGTGTAAGGATAATCCATACATCCCAAAACAAAGAAGGCGAGGTCTATTCTCCTGAAACTAACTACATCCTCATGGTTCTATGTGTACTGATCATTCTTTATTTTGGAGATGGAAAAGATATAGGGAATGCCTTCGGTGTTGTGGTTATACTTGTCATGCTCATCACAACAATATTGTTAACAATAGTGATGATCATAATCTGGAGAACTCCAATCATTATTGCCATGTTGTATTTTGTTCCATTTTTCATCATGGAAGGAGTTTATACAAGCGCTGTATTCACAAAGATCCCACAAGGTGGATGGATTCCTTTTGTCATTTCCATCATTCTTGCATCTGTAATGTTTTCATGGCACTATGGAAGGCAGAGAAAGTTAGAATATGAGATGAAAAACAAAATCCCTATAGATTGCCTTAATGAGCTCTTATCAAGACCAGAAATCCAAAGAGTTGCAGGCATTTGCTTCTTCTATAACAAGATAGAAGATGGGATTACACCGTTATTTGGGCATTATTTGAAGACCATGAGATCCTTGCATAAGGTGACGATCTTTATCACTCTTAGATATATGTTAGTTGCTAAAGTGGATTCTAACGAAAGAATTATCATAAGAAAGCTTGGGATTGATGGAGTATATGAGTGTGTAATTCATTGTGGGTTTGCTGATTCTATTTCTTTGGAAAGAGATCATTTTTTCACTGAAATTAGAGATAGTTTGGAACAACATATCAAGATGAACAGTGGTGAGTTTTCTCGTCATATCGAAGAGGAAAATTCTGAGTTGGAAAACGCAAAGAAAGATGGAGTTGTTCATGTTAGGGGAAAGGCTAATTTTCATATAAGTAAAAGCACCAGCTTATTTGATAAGATTTTACTTGGATTCTATCAGTTCTTACATGGCAATTGTAGATCTGCATTGCCAAATATGGGCATTCCCCTTCATCAGAGAGTGGAATTTGGTATGTTGTATGAGACATGAATGGCATTTTAGAGGCTAATGCAAGCACTAGTAATTCTCATCCAGCTTCATTCATATTGGAGTGTTTCTATTGTAAGCAAGAACGACTTGTACTTTCTTGGCCATGTGGCTTCCACCTTGTCACATTTTTGTAATTAGCCTCTTGTATCAAATCCTATATATAGTGGCTGATATAATGAGATTGAAGCTTTTCCTGAATTTTGTTTGTCTCTTTCCTCTACCCGGTTATTGCATCTGGAGGCTAACATGGTATCAGAGCAGTGATATATTCGTCTCCTCCTTTTACGAAAAAATTCTTTTGGATATTTCTCATGAATCAATCTACGGCGATGTCTTCTTCAAATCAATCGGATACGGTTGCTCTAGCTCCGTCCATCACACCTCCACTAATTCCTTCGTTGCTCAAGTTCTTGATGAGTAGCTCAAGAATGTCATTACGCAAACTGATTGATGCACCTTCATCATCAGTTTGCAGGGGGTTGCAAGCAAGAACGACTTGTACTTTCTTGGCCGCGTATCTTCCACCTTGCCACATCTTTGTAACTAACCTCTTGTATCAAATCCTGTATATAGTGGCTGATATAATGAGATTGAAGCTTTTCCTGAATTGTCTCTTTCCTCTACCTAGTTAGTGCATATGGACGCTAACATCTATGTTGATTTATAAGTTATTTTAAATTTGATGTATTTCAATTGAAAATTTTAGTATTATCAGCCACAGGAAAATCTCCCTTATGTACTCCTTTGTTGAAGTGTATGTTCCATCTTTTTCTTTGTATGAATCAGTATTGTTTCTTAATATGAGCATTCAATATTGCAATTTTCATGTAAGTGAAAGAACAGAACCAAATGGAACATTTACTTCCCATTCTCTGTCATTGACTTCAGTGCTTCAAAGTTCTAAATTCTAACAATCAAAGAGACCAAATTTTCAAAAAGCCTCCCCTATTTAAGCTGACTTGTTGACAAAGAACCAACAAAAATAATTTCTACGGAGAGAAAGATGAAATAAAAGAGAGAGAGAAATAATTCATAATATTCTAATCTAAATTTAGGCTTCGTTTGGGAAAACTTTTATATTGCTTTTTAAAACGACTTTCTAATACAAAAAATTCAAATTCAAAAATTTTTGCACGAAAAAGCTATTTTATAAAGTAAGAAAAAAGCCGTCCCAAACGAACCCTTAGTCAAATAAACTAATCAAGGTGGCTTTTCGAGTGATCAATACAAGTTTATTCGTCGGAAACACAAAAGCTTTACTTATAAAAATTATAATGTTGGGCCTTGGACCGAGTACAAACACTTTACTCGATTTGAACTGGGTGGTATGTGTTGATTCTCATAATGATATGCGTGTAAAAGAGTCGAGCTGGCTTGAGTCACCATTGGTTTGAGCTTGATTTATTAATTGAGTTTAAGCTTGAGCACAAGCTTTATTCTACAAATTTGATCAGCTGGTGCATGAGCCGGCTCATTTATTATGAAAGAAATAAAATGATTATGATTCAAATAAATTTTTTTAATAAATGGTAAAAAATGAAAATTTAAAAGAAAAATAATAAAGAATCACTTGATATAAGAAAGTAAGATATAATTTTTAAATATTTTTAACATCCTTGTACTTTAAATTCTGAAAGATAATAATATTTTAAGTGTATTTTATATTAATATTATTTTAAACTAGCTGGTTCGCGAGGTAATTAGCCAGTCAAGTTAGGATTAGCTCAAGCTTGTTTTATTAGCTTATTGAGCTCTGCTTATGAACCCTTCATCGAGTTGGGTCCGGGCTAGCTAGCTCACAAGGCGGTTTGACTTAATTTCACCCCTACATGCCGAGTTAAACAAGTTGATCTTTCTAACTTCCATGACTATCCTTGAACCCAATACAAAAGAGGGAGAATGAGACGATGATGGCCTTAGGGCCTTAGAGGTCTATTTCCTTAGCGTTTGGAGCTGAAGATCTACATGAGCCGTTTTCTCTTGGTACATATTTTATTCTCCTCTTCTCCTCCTCCTGACTCTCTCTTTCTCTCTCTTACAATTCTACCTTTATTTCATCAATTAAATTGGTTATAAGCTTTGCTTATGATTAAGCTATGCAATCTCTCATGTCTTCGGAGGCTTACTTAGAAGATGATGCAGTAGACGACTGGACGGAGAGATGCAAGCGGCGGCGAACGGCGGTGGCGGTTTCGCCGGCGGCGGCGGTTGCGGAAGACTTTCAACAATTAGTTCTCCAAGTCTGCAGGATTATATTCCTATGGCATTACAATTATAAAGAATTAATGCATAAATCATACTTTTTTACAAAATGCTCCATACTTTTACTAATTGTGAACAGCAATTGAATAAAATTTATTGCAGGAATTTTTGTGCTCAAATTCTCTTGGGGATTCCTTTGATGACTTGGACTTCGTCTCAGGTTTTCCTCTCAGTTTTCTTTTTCTAAGTCATTTATGGCATAATAAATATGCCGAAAATATGTATATAATTCAATAAAATTACTCTTAAAATGAGATTAATTACATCATTTTGAATAGTTCAAACGAAAAAAATTAAAATTAAAATTTTTTGTATTTTTTAAATATAGAACAATTTATAATACCTTTTTGATTTGAAACTTAGCATAGAAATTAAGAGAATGTGCCTCAAAATGCTGATGGAAATTTTTCTGCGAGCTAATTAACCAATCAAGTTAGGTTTAGCTCAAGCTTCTTTCATTAGCTTATTGAGCTCTGCTTATGAGCCATTCATCGAGTTGGGTCGGGCTAGCTAGCTCACGAGGTGGTTTGACTTAATTTCACCCCTACATGCCGAGTTAAACAAGTTGATCTTTCTAACTTCCATGACTATCCTTGAACCCAATACAAAAGGGCAAATTATTGCATCCGGTCACCGGACGCGGATATAGGTCCGGATATTAATAAAATATTATTTTAAATTAATTAAGCGCATCAAAAGCGCAGGTAAAGCACAGATAAAACGTAGGTAAAACACAAGTCAAAGCGTAGGTAAAACACAGTCAAAGCGCAACTAAAGCGCAAGTCAAAAGCGCAAGTGACATGGCAAATTTTTATTGGATATCCGAACCTATTTTCCACGTCCGGGGGCCGGATGCAATAATTTGCCATACAAAAGAGGCAGAATGAGACCATGATGGCCTTAGAGCCTTAGAGGTCTATTTCCTTAGCGTTTGGAGCTGAAGATCTACATGAGCCATTTTCTCTTGGTACATATTTTATTCTCCTCTTCTCCTTCTCTGACTCTCTCTTTCTCGTTCTTGCAATTCTACCTTTATTTCATGAATTAAATTGGTTATAAGTCTTGCTAAATTACATGTTTTGCTTATGATTAAGCTATACAATCTCTCATGTCTTCGGAGGCTTACTTAGAAGATGATGCAGTAGACGACTGGTTGGAGAGATGCAAGCGGCGGCGAACGGCGGTGGCGGTTTCGCCGGCGGCGGCGGTTGCGGAAGACTTTCAACAATTAGTTCTCGAGGTTGCAGGATTATATTCCCATGGCATTATAATTATAAAGAATTAATGCATAAAGCATACTTTTTTACAAAATGCTCCATACTTTTACTAATTGTGAACAGCAATTGAATAAAATTTATTGCAGGAGTTTTTGTGCTCAAATTCTCTTGGGAATTCCTTTGAGGACTTGGACTTCGTCTCAGGTTTTCCTCTCAGTTTTCTTTTTCTAAGTCATTTATGGCATAATAAATATGCCGAAAATATGTATATAATTCAATAAAATTACCCTTAAAATGAGATTAATTACATAATTTTGAATAGTTCAAACGAAAAAAAATAATTTTTTTTTGTATTTTTTAAACATAGAACAATTTATAATACCTTTTTGATTTGAAACTTAGCATAGAAATTAAGAGAATGTGCCTCAAAATGCTGATGGAAATTTTTCTTTTCTGCACAGAAATCAATTTTTAGCTGTTTGATTTGAAATAAAATTTGTAAAATAAAATAAATGTATTTTATATTATAATTCATGTTTTTCACAGATCTGAAGTAATGATATCAAATTCATCATATTTATTTTACAATTACATCATTTCTGATAAATCAAACAAAAAATAGCTTAATTTTCCTTCCTCAGGCCCGAAAACCTTCGACTTCTCCAATCCCATGAAACAATTCAGCTCAGAGGAGAAAGAAACAGAACAAAAAGCTGCAATAAAAGCCCAAAAAGTTGAGGAAGAAGAAGAAGAGATTGAAGAGAAAAGTACAAGAAAGAAGAAGAAGAAGAAGGAGAAGGAGAAGGTGGCTTATCCTTTTGCTGTGCTAAAGCCAACGGAGCTTGAAGGAGATTTAACTCTTGCCGATATCAATAAGCGCATTCTCAGGCGGCCGATGAGGCCGGTGAAGCATCCGGTGGGGGAGTTCGCATGTTTGCCGTGGGTGCCGGACGGTGGCGGCGGGGTGGGGCTTTCCGGCAAAGTGGTGGTGGGGCTTACAAGAATACAGACAAAGGGTAGGGGTAGTATTACTGTCATAAGGACACGAGGGTGATTTAATTAGCTTTAAATTATTTTCTTTTGATGTTAATTACTCTCTTTTTTTTTTGCATTGAGACCTTAGGCTTTCTTTGGAGACAATTTTTTTATTCTATTTCAAAGCAATTTTTTAGTTAATTTTTTTTAAAACATTAAAATTTGTATTTGAAATTGCTTTAGAAATCAATAGGAAAGCTACATCATACGAAGCCTTAGTTTAGTTGTAAAATTTATATATGTTGAGGCTTTCGTCAATTTTCCGTGTGATTTTATATGAGATATAATTGTTACGAAAGTATACGTACGCCCCCATAAATTTTTTTATTTTAGAGAGATATTTCATTAGTTTATTATTATTTTTTAAATGTACACGAAAGTTTATTAATTTCCCTCTATTTTGATATTCAATGCCTATTTAAGTCAGTCGCAAGTAAATTATAAATATGATTTGAAGTGGCTCGAATTCAAATCTTAAATTGAACCTTAATTTGAACCTAGTATGAATAGGTTTGAATCAAATTCGAAACTAGATCTACGAAGCTAATTGTAGCATGAATTGTGGCCACGACATAAGATTTGGTGATAGGATTCATTGGGGCTCATGAACAAGAACGAGTAGAGTTGGTGAATCTAGGGTTCACTCATTGGAGATGTGAAGCCATATGTTTACATAGGCTCCATGTTCAATATTCCTATGAACACATGTCTGACCATATCCTAGAGCTCTAATTTCAAAGAAACATGAGTGATCGGGCATAAGAATTTCAATATTGAAAAACTTCATCATGGATTCATCTCATGAAACAAAGACAACTTTTGATGACCATTAGACAAATTTGCGACCGCTGAAGTTGATAAGATTTTTGTCACCGATGATGATGAGAAAACCACAATGCATGTCGAGAACTAGGGTGTTGCGATGCAGGATTTCTTCATGAGAACTCGCTAGTAAAGACAATGAAAAGACCAATGATGTGGACGTGATTATTGTGGATGGCATCACAAGAGGACATGTGACAAGGAAGTTTAGCTAGGCTCGATTGAACATTGTTCGAATCATGTTTAGCCTAAACCCTAAACAATATTCAATGGTTTGATCAAACCTAAATTGAACACTCTTTGAATATTATTCGAGCTTTATTCAAATCTTATTTAAACAAATTTTAATTGGAATCAATTCAAACCAAATTCGCTCGCGACGACTTCATTAAGCACTTTGTATATATAAATGACATTCAGTTTGAGTCGCAATGCGTGAAAGCGCGGTGTTGATAGTGGTTTAGTGAGTATATCAACCAATTGATCATTGGTGCTAATGGGGAGGATCTGAATGGTCCATTGCTGAACGTGATCACGAACAAACCGATGATCAATCTTGATGTGCTTCGTTCGGGCGTGGAAGACTGGATTATTGGCTAATGTGATCGCCGACGTATTGTCATAGTAAATGTCGGTTGGGTGAATTTGATCAATGCCAAAGTCAGCTAAAACTCGTCGAATCCAGATGACATCAGCGGCGAGGGCAGCAAGTGATCGGTATTCGGACTCAGTTGAGGAGCGAGCCACCATTGTCTGCTTCTTGACTGTCCAAGATATCAAGGTTTGGCTAAGATACGAGCAGTATCCAGATGTTGATTTGCGAGAGACAGGATCACCAGCCCAATCTGCATCAGAATAAGCCGAAAGCCGCAAATTAGTTTTAAGAATAGGAATACCAAAGTTAATCGTAAGCAGTCGTTTGAGAAGATAAGAGTGCTGAGGTTGAGGAGAATGCATATGCTGAGATAAAAGGTTTACACTAAAGGATATGTCAGGTCTTTTTAGTGTCAAATATTGAAGGGATCCTGTAATACGACGGTACATGGCCGGATCATCGAGAATGGGATCAGCCTGAAAAGTTTGCGGAAGTTTGGTGCACGTAGGATTGGAGAGAGGATTGCAATTAGTGAGATGAGCAATTTGAAGAATTGATCTTGCATAAGCTGTCTGAGAAAGAAAGTAGTGATCAGATTGGCGAGAGATCTGGATGCCAAGGAAAGAATTCACCTTGCCAAGGATTTTCATGTTGAACTTTTGCTGCAGTTGAAAAATGATCTTGCCGATAGCAGAGGCGTCATTCCCTGTTAGCAAAAGATCATCGACGTAGATAATCAGGAACAGTTTAATATTGCATTTGTGAAAAATAAGGAGAGAAGGATCAGATTTACTGTGATGAAAACCGAGCTCAACAAGAGAAGAAGTTAGCGTGTTATACCATTGCCTGGGCGCTTGTTTAAGACCATAAATAGCTTTTCGAAGTAGACAAACGTGATTAGGATGTGTGGCATCCACGAAACCTTGTGGTTGACGCATGTACACAGTTTCCTCAAGCGAGCCGTGAAGAAAAGCGTTGGTGACATCTAGTTGATGGACAGGCCAGTCATTGTGTAATGCCACTGTAAGAAGTATATGAATTGTTGGAAGCTTCGCCACGGGACTGAATGTTTCAGTGTAGTCTAAATCATATTCCTGGTGATTTCCTTGGGCCACCAGTCTTGCTTTGTGTTTGGTTATTGATCCGTCAGAGTGATGTTTAAGCCGGTAGGTCCAGCGGCAGCCTAGAACAGAGGTATTCGGAGGCAAAGGAACTAAGCTCCATGTTCCTTGAGTTTGTAAGGCGAAGAATTCGTCAGCCATAGCACGACGCCATTCAGAGGACTTGCTAGCTTCGGTGTAAGAGGATGGAGCTGGCTGATTGTCTGCAGCTGGAATAGAGTGAAGAAGATTTAGAAGATTTATAGGCTTCAAGTGACCCGATTTACCTCGTGTTACCATAGGATGTTTTGGCAGAAGAGCAGGCGGAGATGTTGGACGTGATGGAGGACTTGTGAATGCTGGATGTCGAGAGGTAACATTAGTGACCGTTGGCTATGTTGAGGAGGGAGGTGGTAATGTCACAGTTGCAGCAGATGTAGGAGTTCGTTGAATGACCGAGACCGGAGTGAGAAATAGTGGTGAAATTGGATCTGGCGAAGCATTTGGTTGAGGTTGGACATCTGCAAAGGTAAAACAGGTTTCGTCAAACATTACATGTCTAGAGAAAGATATCTTGTTGGTACCAAGATGAAGACATTTGTAGCCCTTGTATGTGTCAGAGTAGCCGAGAAAGACACATAGCTGAGCTTTGGGTAAAAGTTTGTGACGTTGAGACGATGGGGTTAAGAGAAAACAGGCGCAGCCGAATATGCGAAGTGGTTGGTAGTCAGGCGAATCTCCATAGAGCATGGCATGCGGAGAAAGATAGTTAATGGCAGAATTTGGTAATTTGTTAATTAAGTAAACGGAAGTAAGCATAGCATCGGGCCAGAAAGCAAGGGGTAGGGAGGCGGTGTGGAGCAAGGTTCTAGCCATTTCAATAATATGCCTGTGCTTGCGCTCCGATACACCATTTTGCTCCGGTGTATAAGGGCAGGATATGCGATGTTTGATACCGTTTCGTTGAAGTAATTGAGCAAACTGCGTATTTACATATTCGCCACCACCGTCAGATTGAAGAACTTTAATCTTGGCGGAAAATTCGTGTTCTACAGAGGTTTTAAAAATCGAAAATACTTGGAGAACTTGATTTTTATGTGTTAGCGGATAGAGCCATGTATAGCGAGTATAATCATCGACGAAAATAACGTAATATAAACAACCTGTAAAAGATGCTACTGGAGCCGGACCCCATACATCAGAGTGGATCAAAGCCAAAGCAGTACGTTCACGACTAGTAGTTATTTCAAAATGTAGTTTATGCGCTTTATTCATATGACAAGAATGACAAACTAAATGTGATTTATGAATGTTTAAATGTGGATTACAATCGGCTATACGAGCTATAATATTTTTGACTGGATGTCCCAAACTGTAATATCAAAAATCTGCTCCAGGATCGTCCAGGACGATCTGGATCGTACTGGGACGATCAGTGGAAAGTTTGCTCCAGATTTTGCCCAGTTTTGCTCCAGGTGATTTTTTGTACACATCGGAGGACGCCATTGGTCGCCAGGGTCTTCAAGCCCCGTTTGATACCATGTAGAAACTCAAGAAGTGAGTTTTGTATCCATCGGACAGCAAGAAGAACCAGGAAGAAGAAAAGGAAATTTTATTATATTCTATTGTATCTAAAATCATGTATAGAGAACACTATTTATAGAAAGAGAGGCTACATATGAGGTGATACATAAGGCTATATATTGTTTATGTAATAGATGTTTCTTTGTGCTCTAATACAAATGAGTTATAGTTTTTGTCCAAAATAAAAATTTAGGCGTATCTCCTCAATAAATAAAACTAGCAAGCATGCTTATCCAATAATGACCATTATGCCCTATCGAGTCCCCCTTGGAGGGGCGACATGCTTAATTTTAATTTTTTTTTTAAATTTACATTGTTGTGGAAAGTAAAACAATTGAGTTGTGAAAAAATTTGAAATTAATTTCAGCATCATTTAAACTTTGATTTCAACAAAGTTGTAGTTGAAATGAATGTCTTTCTAAGACAAAGGCAATGATACAATGAGCGATCCGATTAGAATAATTGGGACATTAATTAAAGGATCAAATTGTCTTTGAATCCAACGTATTTGTAGTTAAATTGAGCATTTCAACAAGGCAAACCTTATGGGCTCAATATCATTGGCACTTAGATGTTAAATAAATGATCTATAATCAAAAGATTCAGTATGGGTCAGCTAATTGAATGTTATAATTTTTTTTTTCAAAAAATATCACTATCAAAATAATATAAATAGATCACATTGTTCAAATAAAGGGGACTTAGACTTATGATTGGAGAGAATATAGTGACATGAAAGAGCTATTGAGCTTTACAATATGCTTGACACTGATGATCACCATAAGCTACCCAGTTGTCCAACTACCATCATCACCCCACTGTTGCCTTCAAATCAATTTCATTTGAATATCGCCACCAAGCTATCATAGACTATTCATTATCATCTGATACCTGCTATTTGACTACTATCACTCTACTATCATCATCCGATCACTTACAAATACCGCATGGGTTCGATTGATATTGTATAAACATTGTTGCCAGTCTAACGTCATCTAATTAACGTCATAATCATTCTACTATTTCTCTTATAATCTCTATTATTGCTAGGAGATCAAGAAAATCCTCCAGCTTCATAATCTCATATTCTCTTCTTGTATAAAATAGTGAACTTTTATAACTACAAATACTAAGATATAAAAATCTTTAGTATGCAACAAAATTTATATGAAGTTGTATATAATATTAAAATTTAATTAATTTATAAATATACATATATACAGATGGTTATAGTATATAAAATGAGTATTAAGACATAAACATGGATTTAGATAATATTAAAGTTTAATTATTTATCTAATATTGTAAACTTAAAAAACAATAATAAATAAAATTGTACACAAAAACATATATATATAGTTTACTGGATATATTGCATTATATATATGGGTGTCAATTCTGGTCAACGGGTCGGGTTTGGGTCGAATCCGAAATTGACCCGGCACTATTCGGGTCATCCCGAATACGACCCGTTTTTAAAAACGGATTAGGTTTCTGGACCTGAACCTAACCCGATTCGGGTCTCCGACATGAATGACTCGAAGTTGGCCTAAAATTGCTAGTTTTTTGGGTCAAAATCGGGTCAATCTCGGGTTCCCGGGTCAAATAGGAGTTTTCGTGTCAATTTCAGGTCATTTTCAGATCAATTTCGGATTGCTGGGTCAACCTGAACCTGACCCGATTTTTAAAACGGGTTGATTTGTTAATTTTTTCGGATCAGCTTCGGGACGTGTCAAAAATTCACACCCATTTATATAAGAGATTCTCCATCCGATATCAGACGAGCGTGGAGCACACGCCGGACCACTAAGCGGGGAGTCCGATGGTAGCTATCGCCGTTGATCTTTGGCCGCCTCAGACGCATTTTGGCCCGAAACCCTCTGACCGTCGGCGAAGATGGGTCTCTTCTCCGGTCAGTTCTTCTCTTCTTAATCATTTCTGAAGTAAGAGGTATTAAAGAATAGACATCCCAATCATTTGAGCGTTCAATTCACGGAAACACCAGCTGGATCTCGCCATCAGTCCTTGGAATCGTAGTTTTCAATGGCGTGGGAGTCGGAGCGGAGTGTGGGTTGTGCCGTTTCGCCCTACTCGAGCAACGGTTTCTACGAGGGCGGAAGGTTAGTGGATTTTGTGTTACTTTCTATTTCCAGGGTATACAGGACTTTGAGCGCGTTTGTGAGACCGATGAGGTTTGCAGGGACTTCTGATCAGGAACTTAGATTGGTGCTTGAACTCGCTACGGATGAGGAACTCTTTGAGCTGGAGAACATTCTCTATGGCCCGAGGCAAGCTTTTCTATTGCTCTATCTCCTCAACTATTACTTGCTTTCTTTCCATTGCCTATTCTAGCAAGAGTAGTTGAACATGCCTTGACTGATTTTTTTTGTTTCTTCACACTGGCTGGCGTACAAGGAATTTTAATCAAATTATTGCATGCTAGAGGTATTTTATTATCAAATTTAGATTATTTTTATTCTGTTTATTGCATTTTTTTAGCTTGACGCCCCAAAACAAATAGAATCAAAATGTTGAACGTTAGGTTCAACATCTCCCTTTCTATTTTGCCTTACATTCAGACTTTAAACTTTTATGAATTAAGCATCTTTGTAATATAAATCCAAAATATCAGGCATAGAAGAGAACAATCTAAAATGACATCATTCTTTATATTGCTTGCTAAGTCAAGTAGTCCGAGGTCTAAATGGAGGATATAAAATGATGAAGAGTGAGTCTTAGTCGCCTTGTATTAAAAAAACTTCATAAGGCAACAACCGTTGAGCAATTCTACAAACTTGATAAAAACACCTTGGATACTGCACTAATACTAAGAAATTAGCAAGGAGATTCGTCCAATGCTCAAGTCATGAATAGAGGAAATCATTACCAAATTCAAGAAGAGATGTTTGGAGTTTAAAATAAATGAAGATGGATCGAAGCTTCATCAAAGTTCAAATTATGGTCTTAATGGCTTGATACACTACATAGTGAGCTCATACCAAAATAATAAAAGAAGTAAAAACATCTCTAGATTCTATATGATCACATAATGGGGAGATTTACCGTATGGATGACCACAACTATCATGATCTTTGAGTTCTAGGAGATGGGATGACTCAACATGTTGTAATGATATATGAATATGGGATGCATGAGCCATCTTCTCCACAACTATCATTTTTATCTCATCAGCTTGAAGAGGCAAATTGTGCTATGCTGCTCATTCCACCTTAAATTGCATGTTTTTCTTAGGATAAGCAACCACAAATGATTCTATTTTGCATTGATCGGGTTTAGAAGTAATGATGAGTGGCTCAAATTTGAACAAGTTGAGAATGACATTGAAGCCATTTTCCTTCTAGAGCTTGACGTCGGAGCTGAGCCGTTGATCATATTGAACTTCAGAGACATTTAATTTCATATGATATTTTGTATGGCTATATAGGTGTTATGCTTTCTTTTGTTTGTGTAGCCTAGTATGTTGTTTCTTTTGGCTATAAATACATAGCCAACACTTGTAATATGGAGGTTGAAAATGAATAACATTTGAGTCTTAGATTCCTTTTGGAATTGTTCTGTATCCTGACGGACAGTCAGGTGGTGGTTCTTATCTCTTTTATGTATCCTAAGATTGTTCTTGGGTGGTGGTTCTTGTTCCAAGTAGTTCTTGGAGTGGTGTCCGGCGACCGCCACCGGATCGTCGACGTGGATTCGTCGAGCCCCCTCCGGTCCGGTGTCATTTGATATCAGAGCCAACCGGTTCTTCTTGCTCTGTATCCTGACAAGTCCTCAGGTGGTGAAGAGAAGAACATGGAGGAAGAAGCCAAGTCGGAGGCCGTTTAAGAAAACGATTCAACAGAGGGAGAACGACGGATCTTGCATGGTTGTCGGGGTTGCTCGGTTTGACCGGAGAAGCCGGAGGTGACTTTAGCTGTGGCCTGGTACCGTGATCTGCAAGGGAGATTGCACAGGCTGGGAATTAGGCGGAGGAGCTGTCTGGCCGGAATCTGGGACAGGCGATTTCTCACAGGATTTCGGCGGACTGGCCGAAGGCTTGCAGGCGAAAGGAGGCGTGGGCTTCTTGATTGACAGGCGGCGAAGAGGAAGCCTGGAGTCGCGTGCGGAAGACCAAATCGGGCGTCATGGGTCTCGCGGCTAACATCGCGTGTAGTTGATTGGGAGACTCATCCGGATTCACCTGAGGTGGCGAACGGTGTCCGAAGGAGCTCGGCCAAAGGCAAAAGCTCGATTGGGCCTGAATCGAGGGACCAGGAAGCGGAGTCCGGTCTTGATCGCAAGAAATGCAGGACTAGTGTGGGCTTCTTGATCGGGAGAGCGAGCAGTGAAGTAAAGTTCCGACTGATTCCCACGAACGTTGAGGCAGAGGAAGAAGAGATCGCATGAAGAGTGTTGTTTGCAGAAAAGGCCTCGGAGTAGAACAATTTCATTCCCAGGAGAAATCTGTCAGGACATTTGCAAGCTTGGTGGGGTTCTTTTGAGTTTTATGGTTCTGAAACAGAAGGTGGTGTCTGCCCTCTTCTTTCAAGAACCACACCTATGATCAAGTTTAGCTTCCAAGGATTTGAATATCCATTGCCAAATTCATCATCTTTGCCTCTCTACGATGAGCCTGAAGTTCCTTCTACCCCAGTAGTATGACGCCAGAGCTGAGCCGTTGATCATGTTGAACTTCAGAGACATTTAATTTCATATGATATTTTGTATGGCTATATAGGTGTTATGTTTTCTTTTGTTTGTGTAGCCTAGTATGTTGCTTCTTTTGGCTATAAATACATAGCCAACACTGTAATAGGGAGGTTGAAAATGAATAATATTTGAGTCTTAGATTCCTTTTGAAATTGTTCTATATCCTGACGGACGGTCAGGTGGTGGTTCTTATCTCTTTTCTGTATACTAAGATTGTTCTTGGGTGGTGGTTCTTGCTCCAAGGAGTTCTTGGAGTGGTGTCCGGCGATCGCCGCCGGATCGTCGACGTGGATTCGTCGAGCCCCCTCCGGTCCTGTGTCAGAGCTATTCCCACAATACGACAACCTTGCTTCCATTTTCTCAATTCGATTGCACAACAGGTTGTTCAAATGTACTTTTCTTTCCATGAATTCCTTACTAAAATGTCACAAAGATCTTTAATATTCTATCATTGATCTTTTAGCAAGACAAAATTATCAAAAGAAATGCCCATCCATAACCACCCCTCCTCATCACACCTTCAAGTTCAAACCTAAGATCAACAATACAAGCTCCAAGGGTAATTTTTTTTGCACCAAAGGGGGAATCCCCTCAATAAAGGGGATGCCTGGCCTTTGTACAAACATTTGATCAAAAGAACGCATGCTCTCATTACTAACAACTCTTAGGCTCATCTACTCCTTGATCTTATGTCATTCACAACTTTCTCAAGCGTCTGCAATTGTGGCACTATAAATTGAGGAAGTGTTCATGATTCAATATTTGAAACTTTCCTTGATCCTTATATCACAACTTTTCTCTTTCTTAGGGGAGAAATTTGGTCCAAACCTTGGAAATCCTATGCTGCCACCTTTGGCGATAGTTTTTTGATACTTAAGGTAACATCACAAGGAAGACCTACTAGATGAAAGTCACTAAATCTAATGGGCAAGTTAGTGCTCCTTCTTCGACTAACTTCATGTGGAAAAGTGCAATGATTAATTAAATATAATCACATAAGTCTAGAGACTAGTGGAAGAAAGGAGTAGCATTATTAAAACTTAATATTCTCAAATGTTGTTTTGCAAATTTAAACCAAGCTGTAAGAATTTGGGGAAGATTTGTGAGTTCCTAAATTTATTACCCTATCCGAAGTCAATATAAAAACAACATGCATGTAAACCTGAGATAATGATGACCTGACAAGTGTGATTCAAACTAGTCCAAATAAATCCAAATCAACTAAATGAATATCACCTTCAAAATGATCCATTTAAATAAACTCTCATGATGGTACAACTGAGAGGTAGATTCCTTAAAAAGATTAAAATAATAAATAAGAATCTCCTATAAATTAATGAGGTCCAGTCATTTACTCGAAAATAGTTGGCCTTAATTTCTTCACGTAGACCCAAAAATCGATGGAAGACTCATTTTTTATTGATCTAGGATAGGATACGCAATCACCCACGTGTGAGTATTTACATTTCCTTAAACAATTTTAATAAGGGAGGATGCATTTGTTCTACATGGGAAAAATAGCAAAATATAAAGAGAACATTGTTTATCTTAATTGAATTGAGATTTTTTATTTCTCACTGGGAGTTTTCATTTGTATATAGTTCATTGGGTTCATCTTGTCAAATCAAGAAACAATATTTATTGATACGTCAGTGCACAAGTTGTATGTGTATGTTATGATTATTTACATGTGCCACATAAAGTTCTTATATTCACAGCTGATTGGATACCCTGATTATATCCTGCATATATTTTTTCATCCTTAATTGCCATAACTAGACAATTTCACTATTTAATCCTTTCTCTTACGACATATTCTAATTGAAACAATGAAGAAGGCTCTATGATCTCCTCTTCTTGCAACTCTTTAAATTTTTTACACAACCAATTCTTCAATGGTGAAGGGTTTTGGTAGATTGCTTTTGAGTAGTAGTTTCAATACAACTATTACCCTTCGAAATTTCCTTTGATTTGGTGAAATTGTCTCTTGTTGATGAAAAATTGTTGATTCTAATTGCAGTTACTTTAGCCCGCTGCTAAAATCAATTGCTAGCAAACTAGATGTTGATTATACTCTTGAAGAAGCAGATTACCAACAACGAGAAGATTACATAACGCACCTTGAGTCGCGTTTCTTTTTTCTTGCAGCAGATGCTCGTTCTACAATAAGGTTTGTGTGATTTGTGTTTTTCATTAAAATGAAAAATATGAAGTACTTATGATGGCTTCATTCTTGTCACTAAGTACATCATTGTCTCTAAGAAAATACATGCTCATTCTCATTGAGCCACATGATTTTTTTTTCTAATCTATGCATTTATAAGGGTGCTAAGCCAATTAGACATTATATTTTTCCATTTTTTATCAGTGTCTTATTTTGTAAAGAATTACCATTTTATTTATTCTTTTACCTTACATATTTTTTTCTTTAGACGTTAATTAGAAGTAGTTCATACTCAATTTCCTTAGCCATCTAATTCCATGTCTTTATTTTAGTATGTCATCATCACTTTGATAGCATATACTATGCTTACTCACAGATATCTATCGTTGCCACCTTGACAAAGTTTATATGATAGTTTCTATTAGCTTAGGAAATATCAAATTAGTGAGGTTTTCTATATTTGATGGCTTATGTATGTTTTTTGGGCATTCCTTAGTACATTGCACTCGTTTTGTTATGTGTGGAATCTGATTGTGTTGATCAATCGGGTTGTTTTGTTGCTTCGGATCTCAAGTTTCTTGTGCTCACTGGGGGTGTGGGGGGTTTACCTCCTGCTTGGGTTCGGGTGCTCATTGGGGGTGTGGGGGGTTTACCTCCTTTTCATATATTTTCCTTGTCCCTATATTTTTATTTATTCCTAGGATATATCAGGACATGCCGTTGAATCCTCTATGACTACAAGCTATGGTTGTTCAGAAGAGTGTTCTACACAATCTTAATAAGATTTAACTACGTCTTTTGAGGAACAAATTGTTTGCCATTAGGTGTTCATGTCAAATAGCATCCTGTATCTCGATTATTTGGAATAAAGTTCAACTACTAGTTAAAGTATTCACACCGATCTATGAGATAGACTAGTTTAAGTATTCACACCTTGGTTGCCATGTTTAACTCTCTATTCTTTCATCAATGTTTATCGGTTAGAGATTGTCTATGGTGCAATGGGATGCGAGTAATTCCTTCCTTTATGATAATTTTTGTAAGCTAGTTAATATGGAACAACCACTTGAGTATGTTACTGAAGAGGAGAACCACATATATGTGCTCAAGAAGGCCACCTATGTAGTTAATCAAACCGTAGGGTTTCATTTTAAAAATTTTGCTACATTCATGCCGAGATTGGCTTTTGCTGCCTAACTATCTTTCATTTTTTTTTTTTTTGAAAATGTTAAAGAGTGTTTGGGTGCTTTAAATTTGGATATTAGTCTATAGGATCAACCCTATGCTACCTGTTCAAGGCCTACAATGGAAACACTCTGTTTATGTTTCTTCGTTTTGGTTTCCTGTATTGTTCCGTCAATGATGGAGCATGAGTCACTGGCTGTTGTGAAGGGCCTAATTTTAAGGGATTAGAGTAGTAGAGTGCATAAAGTTGGTTTTCGGTTTTTTGCTTAACTAGAGGAATTAACCCTCTTTCTGTGCTTCATAGATTATATTTTTGGCGTTTCATTCTCACTTATGAGGTATGGCATAAAGGACCTGCCAACTTCGTCTGAATTCATTTAAGTTCTATTTATGTCTTTCCCGATCAATGAGCCCGTAAAGTTACCATGAAGACCTACAGATCTATTCGTGGTTTACCATGCAAATGTTCTACATTTTGGCATTCCATGTTCAATGCGTTATCATTGTTAAATTGAACTTTGTTCTGAGGATGCTATGACAAATTTTCTCTGATCATTTTGAATTTTACATTTTATTTTATTTTTGTTTGACAAGGGGTTGGAGGCCATCATACAGAAATGTGTTGTTGGGTGTGAGAAGGAAGCTGAAAGTTTCATGCTCAAATAAATTATCAACAGAAGACCTGGAAGTTGAAATTTTTCTTCATCTATTGCAGGAATATTCAAGGTATAAATGATGACTTACACCATAGTGAGCTTTCTACTTGGTTGCAGAGTTAACCAATTATATTTTCGTCAACTTTAATTGTTCTAAAAGAGAAATAATTTGTTTTTCTTCAAAGTTTACATCCATGAAATTTTAGCTATTTGTGTTGGTTCGCCAAGTTAGTATTTTAGGTTATAGAGTTGACTCATGCTTGATGAAATTTCTAAATTTAAAAAGAGAAAGAAGAAAGAAAGAAGAGATGAATGACATTTGTACAAAATGTGAATGCTGCTCTTCCCAGTACCTATGGAAATTGCTGAGACCATTTATTATGCTTCACCAATCACCATTTTCTACTAGTTTAGGGGGCTAACTGGTTATGAAACTATTATCACTCTTCAGAAAAATTACTGTTAGTTATGCATGTCCCAGCCCTACCCACGTTCCTTCCCTAGTTTGATTTGATTACAAGTTTTTTGTATTTGGTGGTTTTGATGTTAATATTATTTTATCCAGACTCATCAGTTATTCTTGACTTGGAGGCCTTACACACCGTTGTCATAGCATATATTGAAGTATGCCTTCCACTTCTTGCGCTAAATTTTTTGTCTAAAATTTCCTCATTAAATATGGTTTTGATTGCTAAATACAAGAGAAAAAACGATAAAAAAGATTGGTGACTTAAGCCACATTCATAGTAAAAAATATTATTTTAAAGGGGTGTTAACTTGTGGTTCTCTATGAATGTATTCTAAACATAAAAAATTGAAGTTATAGATCATCAAATCAAGACATACCAAGCCGATTGTAGAGTGAAATCCAAAACCATTTCATTTTGGAGTTGTGATTTATTCCGTACTTATTATAAGTTATTATTTATTTTTTTGGGCCGGTGATTTAGTGTTTCTATGGAGTTTAGTAGCTCTGAGCAGAGGACGTTCTTGATGGGGCCAAGGGTGGGTGCTCTCTTTAAATTTGATAAACATTTTGATAGACCGGTCCAAGATGGACTGGTCCAGTCAGCCCAACACCAAGGCCAGCTCCTGGTTTATTCTAGGCGGAATAGGAGAGTAGTCCATTGATAGCAAATTCAAATAGGAGGGGGCAGTTTAGGAGGGAAATTATTCAGGGAAGGGTTGTTTGGTAATTATGCTTTTATTTGTATTATCTAAATAGGGGGGAAGGGATTATGGTTAGGGTTATGTGATATATTTGCTGATTTCTGAGTTTTCCCTTAGTGTTTTGTCTCTAGCCGCCTGCTAGGGATTGAGAGAGCTAGATCTTCCTCTCGAATTGAAGATCCATTGTATCTTGTTTATTTTCTTCTATGTTTTTATCAAATATCAAGCTCCCTAGTGTTTTGCCTAGGGATTTATCTCAAAATCCTGCTGGAACATTGCTTAAATTCCAAAAGTTGAGCCAAGGTTTCTACAAGTTCTGCATTTATTTACGGTCCAACATCCTTGATGTACCACTGGCTTTGAGGATATGAAGTTTTAAACAAGGCTGGTAGTATTGTGCGCTTTTCATTATACCTAGAAAGACTTTTTTTTTTTTGCTTCAAACTTAATATAGTGTTTATTGACATTGCCTTTTCATAAAAATCTGTTACTTTTATGTTAAAGATGAAGGGATTTTAGGTTAAAAATTTGTAACTTTGGTGATGTGTATGTTGCGTTGACTTAACTTGATTTATGTAGCTACATTGTTTATTTAAATAGTTATATTTGTTGTCATTTCAATCTAGTTGGCATGTGTGAATTCATTTTATAATGGTTAATATACTTCTTAATCCCCCTATTCTGAAATCCAAATCCAACTCATTTAAGAGTTACAATCTATTCCACACTTTTCATTGCTAATCTTAGGCAAGGGCATTCTAGCCTTAGCCAAAGGGAGCGACCATCAGAGGGGATGGCTGGGAAATTGCTTTTCCCAGCTATTCCATCCAGTTGGTTGCATTGACCTTCTCTGTTGTCGTTCTATAGCTGCTTTCTCTTTAAGTGGCCAAATAGTTGTTGTTGATAACTATGAAAATGACTGAACATGAAGGGAGACAAATGACAGGATGAGAAGGTGATCAGCCAGTCTACCTACCAATGATGTTATCTCCTTTTCACAATGGATGCTGTTGCAATGATCCAAATGGTTGCCAAGAAGTGAGCTGCGAAGGGATTTAGAGACAGTGAATGAAGAGGAAATAGAGAAACTCTGTCCATTTATTATGAACAGTCTTTTCTTAAAAATTTTTTTAAAAGGACATTTTAATCAACTTATGTCATTTATATCTCTTGTCAGCATATTTTTGACAGAATTTTTTTTATTCATTTATCTACTATTCTTTAAATAAGGATTCTGAGGTAAAATTTGGGGCTGATGCGATGTTAATGGCTAATAAAATTCTCGGTTAGGCGAAGGCTTCCCTTTGTTTCAAGTGGGATGCTTGAAGAAGGGCCTAGAGTCATGCTAGGCTAGTCAATTCGGTTCTTAATTCTTCTTTTTTTCTTTATTCCATATCTATACTTCTATCCATTTTCATTTTCTATTTTGTTTCAATTTGATTTCAAGGTTTTCTGTACTGCATCGAGGCCTCAAATGATTTCTGAAGTTAGTGATCTGGTGCCATAATATTTTTAATATACTTTTATCTTCTCTATTGGTTGACATGACAAACCTGATAACTGTTCTAGTCAGGAAAATAGTTCAATATCTTCTATCTGGGAAGACGCCAAACTTGCGAATGGAGGAAGTTTAAGTGTAGGTCTTAGCCAATGGAAACTACAACTGCTTGCTGTCCTGAAAACTGGGGCAAAGGAATTCCAGGACGTGATTTTGAAGGTACTTATTTCTATTTCAGCCCTGGCGAAACAAAGTTTGTACTGTTCTATAATATCATTTTTCATATATTGAAAATTCTCTCGCTTTTAACAGGGAGGTGGCATGTTAACATTGTCAAGGATTCTTCAGTTGGTATGAAAGTGTTCCTCATACTTCGAAGTATGAAATATGGTATTCTTTTGTTGATCAGCATTTCTTATCTATCACTGATTGAGTAGTTGGTTTGTTAGTTATCGAGTAGATTCTCTGGAAAGATGATAATGGAAGCTGCCAACTATGAGATAAAGCGTGAAATTATTAAAAGGGTATGCAACTTGATTATTTTGGAACTTCTTGCTCGTTCATGAATGCTAATGTTTGGTTTTCTGTCCTTACTTCATTAGGTCGTAAGCGTGGATATGAATTTAACCTTGAAGAGGGAAATAATGATTTTTAGTTTTGTGTATTTATTGAGGATCTTACCGCTCTCTTTATAAAGCATGATTTTAGGTTACTCTTAGTAATTTCTATATAGAAAAGTAGCTATTAAATATCGATTACGTCACAAAGAGTCATAGGATAGAAATTTCAAAAAATAATCATGTTTAAATATTTTTATCTATGGAAATAAAGAAAATATTATATAGCTTGCAATATTTATTCCTTCTGTAACCTGAGAGGAATTCCACCCTTATAAGAGTATCTCCAGCCGAACGCCTAACACTCATTTGGTGTCGCTGGTTTGCTCCATTCGATTGCAAAAAAATAAAAAATAAAAAAAGCTATTCAGGTGAGGGTGAACATGGCGTCGCCTTGTTCACCCACTAATTTTTTTTTAATAAATATATGATTAAAAAATATAAAATAAAGTATGAGAAAGAATATATATATATAATATTCTTTTTTTGTTACAAAATGAAGTTCGGTTGGATATGAATTATTGCATTTTGGTGTATTACTGTATTTTGGAGTGAAAATTGAGTTTTTCGGTTGGAGATGCCCTAAAGCCCACGAATTGCCACCTTGTTCACAATGATGGACACCAATAACATGCTATCCCATGGATTACCAAGCTAGTCTTGGAAAGAACCGCCAACACTTCTCAACCTGTAGAGCAGATATTTTTAATGCCTAATTTGAAGGTGATATTTTTAAATGTAGAGTTCAATAGTCTGATAGGAAACACTTGTAGATCTCAAGCGAAACGTGTCAAAATTGGAATTTCTAGAGAATTCCCGACACATTTATCCCAACAAATCAAGGAAAAAAAAAGCAAAACAACATAATAATTGGATGAAGACGAAAGAAAAGTACCAAGATACAATTGATCCTCCATTCGAGAGTAGGATCTATCTCTCCCAACTCTCTAGATGCCGCTACAGCCCAAAAACACCAAAGCACCACAAAATTCAACAATCCCTCCTACTTCAAGCAAACAAAATAACAAAGTAAATTACTACACAGAAAATGCAAATCTAAATTTTGCCCTAGCTGCCCCTCCTTTTTCTCCAAATTCAAATAGCGCACCCCCCCCCTGTAGCATAGGTGGACATTTGGCCTGCCTAGTGTATAGCTGGGCTGACCATTTTGTCACGACCCGGCCCGATAAGCTCACATAGACGAGGCAAGAACGGAGGTCGAACGGTAGACTAAAAATGTCCAATCTCTAAAACTATCACCTTAACATTTGAAAGAGCCACTAAAATAATAAAATTCAAAACATATAACATAACCTCAAAAATATTCATATAATTACCTTTCTTCCGGTGCTCCTCTCTTACGATAAACATTTTCACCCATTCTACTCATTTTTATTTAAAGTAATTACACTTGAAAAATATTAACAACTAACAATAAGTCAAACTTCAGTAAGTAAAACATGACTCTAAACTATAACAATTCAAAACGGAATGAGTAATATGCTAGATGCCACATTTCATTTAAAATATATCATAAATTGATTTCTTATAAACATGACATTAAACATATCATATATCATAAAACCATATCTTTCATATTCATTTTTCATATTCATATCAATATTTGTAACTTTCTTATTTCGTATATATTACAACCGTCACATGAGCCACCGTCTAGTACCATAAAGGTACTCCTTCACCATTTCCTTTTTCATGTCCTTTATCATTTTAACATGTACGAGTACAGCGTCCCCAGCTAATACCATAAGGGGGTAAGCTACATCAATTCAACATGCACATACAATAACTCAATATAACAATCATATCATATTCATATATCAATAATATAAAGCTTTATCATATACTTTATATAGTAATACAGTGAATCAATTAATATGCAAGATATGAAACAATGGAATTCAATGGAATCAATTGAAATGCAATAAAATGAATCAATTTGCAAAAATAATTCAATAAAAATTGAAACGATACAATTACCATAATAAATAAAACATGTTTACTCACCTGAATGTTTCCAAGCTTTAATATTTTTCCAAAACCTCAAGCTTTGTTGTAGATCTCAATACTCGTCTCAACTTTCACTATTCAAATAACATTAATAAGATCTTAAACCTTCAACTTAGAGTTCTTAATCCTAAAGCAATATCAATGATTCATATTCTTTTTATTATGTTTTAATCTACTTCCAACATTTCTAAAGAGAGAGTACATTAATAATCCTAACATAAAAGAGACCTTATACATTTCAAAATTCCTCTTACCTAACATTTACCTTAATTCATAATCATTAATATGCTCCCTTAATCATAATTTATGTTCATTAAAAGGATATTTTAATATCATTAATATAAAGAAATTATTAACATAAATAAATGTCTAATCTTAATTTCCTTTTCATTAAGTGACATGAATATCATTACCATAAATCAATGTCATTAACCAAAATTAATGTCATTAATATAAATTTTTAATCTATCATTAACCTAAATTCTTAATTGACATTAATGTAATTATTTTCGGATTTATTAATTTAAAAATTAGGAAAATATCATTTTGTGAGAAAAATCTAATTTATACCCTTAGAAACCCCCTTAGGACCCTTAAGACTATGTTTGTAAAAGCACTTTTAAAATTTTAAACTTTAGGAAAAAATCCTAATTTTTCCAACTCAATACTTTTAAAAAAAACCACATTTTCATGCATAAAATTATCTCCTAACCCTTCCCTGTACATTTCCTAAAGAAAAGAGAAGTTTTTGTTAAACCCTAGATCCTTCTCTTCCAAAAATCTTTGAGAAAAATGGAAAAATAGTAATTCTAATGCATACCTTAGCCTTCCCTTAGTCTCCTTTACGTTTTTCCCCAAGCTTGGCCATCAGAATCTGTCGCTGAAGCCGCTCGTCCTCCTCTCCCATTCACCTATCCGGTCCTCCTTCTCTTCGTTTGGGCGAAAGGATTATGAGGGGACCGAATAGAATCGGTCCCCTTAAGAGTTAGGAGGTTAGGAAAAAATTTCAATTACTCAAATGCCCTCATTTAAAACATATCAGCTTAAGTAATGACTAAGGGTAAATTGGGTATTATGAGACTTCTCTTAATTTTAACTTCAAAATTAAGCAAAATTAGTTATAAGTTCTATACACCAAATTTCTTAGAATTTTACGTAGAATTTTATAAAATTATTTTCGTCAAATTCTGACGACTTTGTAAAATTCACTTAAATCTCGTCGCGGCGGTCTAAAATAGCATTTTTTTCGAGTTTTACACCTTTGCCTAGGGCCGTCTGGACCGGACGAGCGTGGACCAATCTAACACAGTCCTTTTGTTAGATTGTCATACTACTACTTGTGTGTTTAGACATATGGCATATATATATAAAGTTAGTTCATAAATTGGCTCATTTATTATGAAAGAGGAAATGATCATAATTAAAGCACTACATGAGAAATCACTTAATATATAGAACTAATATATAAATTTTAAATATATTTAAGAAAATTTTACTTAAATTATTGAATTCTGATATATTTTAAGTATTTTTTGCATTAACATTTATTAAACAAGCCGGCTCATGAGCTAATGAATAAGAAATCACTTAATATATAGAACTAATATATAAATTTTAAATATATTTTAGAAAATTGTACTTAAACTATTGAATTTTGATATATTTTAAGTATTTTTTGTATTAACATTTATTAAGCAAGTGGGCTCATGAGCTAATGAGATGAGTTAAAGCTGGCTCATGCTTGACTCCTTAGCTCATCGAGCTTAGCTCTCAAGCCATTTATCGAGTTGATTTTGAGCCGGTTCATGAACTAGCTTGACTCATTTACTCCTTTAATGTTTATCGAGCTTGAAACTTCAAAATTTCTCAAGTTTGACTTGGGTATAGTTGGTAGTGGTGTAAACAAGTCGAGTCGAGTCGAGTTTAGGCCTTAGACCATGCCACTGGGCATGATATTTTGTTACAAATCACCTTAGAAACGTTTAGAAATCCATTAAACATACTCATAATAATAATTTTTTATTTAACCCTTTGTGGACCATGGTAGACCAAGAAACCCTAAAACCTAAAAATTCTAAAGCTAAACCTTTAGATAAGCCCTTCTGGGCTTCATTATAATTCCATTTCTAAACATCAATCACGCAATGTCTCTCTGCTCTGGTGCTCTCGGGCAATTTTCTGGTGATCTAGTGTACTTCCATCCGAGCTCTTCTCTTGCTTCTCATGGTGTGGATTTTTGGATTTTTTTTTACTGCATTTTGTTCCTTCTTCTTTTTCTATGCTGGTTTTGCATTTTGTTTTGATAGTTTTTTTTGGTTTTGCTGGTCCGGGAGATGTGACTCTGTCGTCAAACTCAATATGCTGTAGGAAGCCTAATGCTGATTGCTTCTTCATAGTTTTTATTGAACTTTATCTTATGTGTTTATCGAGGTCTGATGGTATGTTTTAACATGCTATTTTGATTTCAAGCTTGCTCGAGTTCATTTGAAAATGAAATTTTAAGCCCTTCGGAGCTTTGTTTGTATAAGTCAAGCTGAAGTTGATCTGCGCCTAGTTTACTCGTATGTGGTTTGATAGCAAGCCATAACAAATGAATTCAAGCTAAGATAAATATATTTTATTTAGGAAAAACCTCGCAACTTTGTCATCTCTATTTTCTATGCTCATCAACATAATTTCACATCATTGTTCAGATTATACTTATCTCTGATTCCTCCATTATTTTTGGTACAAGGGTGGACAAATGGCAGCTATCAACTTGGAGTCTAGGGCAGCTTTGCTTGCTGCAAGAAAGGTCCTAAACAAATGATACCATTTTTCTCTCTTCCTTCTATTTAGTCAGCTTTTGCTTTATTAGTTTGGAATAATGATATGTGTTTTCTTTTTGCGAAAGAATATGTTGATTTTTTATTGCTGTTTTATACAGGGATTGGCAGGTGCAGCTTCAAAGTATCTTGGGTTTAGGAGCTTGATGGTTTTCCTCGGGCCCTTGTATGTGCTTTGCTCCTGCGCTTTTGACTTTTGAATGTTTTGATTTGTGTTTGAGTTTGTCAACTTGATTGATCATCTATCCTTCACAATGCTCATCTCCCGTACCTTGGTTTGCAAATGAGTTGAAAGTAGTATAGTATTTTTTGATGATTAAATGATCTAAAGAGCTTTTGAAATCATATAATGAACTATTAATCTTACATGTGATGGTTGTAACATCAAAAATTAAATTGAAGATTCAGGAAAATGATGATTTTTCATGATTTTCATTAAGCATGCATTTCTGCATTTCATTACGCAAGTATACATGCATTTTTGAATTTCATTACGCAATTATACATGCTGAATCAAGTAATATAATGATAGAGTAGAGTAGAGTATTGATCCTACGAGGAAGATATGATCATTTGCAAATACTAATACTGTCTACTAAAATTATAACAAATATATATACACGAATTTCATTAAAACTAGAGAGTTGTCTCAGTTTCAGTGGATGGAGGAGGAGCGGTTTGTCGTTCTCTCTAAGGACTTTCTATAACTAAGGATTGGGTTTAAAGTAAATTTTTGGTTTGGTATTAGTTATAGACTCAAATTTAAGAACTTAAGGAAGATTTTATAGAACACAATCAGGTGAGGTGGATAGGAACGTGATCTGATGAAACGGTGGAAACATTGTCAACACTATTTCTCAAAAATTGGAAGATAGAGGAGGAGAGGTATGAATTAGGATTTTGGGAGTGGAGCAACTCCCCATTTTTCTTCTTTTTGGATAAAGCGGGAAGATTAACATGCAGAGCTTATGGGAAGGGTTGGGCTGACTTTTGGGTTTATTCTGTGACTAAGCTTAGGGTTTAGGATGGTAGTTTAGGTTTGGGTTTGTTTTAAGAAAACTAGTTACCGTTTAAAGTGAATGTTTGTGGGGGCTGTGTGCTTGCAGGAAGATGCCTAGCTAAATCAGGAGAAGATGAAGGTGCTGTTATGATCTCTTGAATTTTAAAAATTAAAACACACCTTAATTTCTTCTTGGAAGACTCATTGGATTGAGAAATTTTGGCCCTCATAATAATATTTGAGGAACGGGACAACAGAGAAATTATCAGGATTCAAGTCAAAAACTAAATGATGATGACATCAAGGAGGCAGGAGCTAGAAGAAATAAATCATGAAAAAACCTCTATAGTTGGGAGAAGAGATGATGGCCAACTTGGGGAAAGGATTTTAAATTTTGTCATTTTTAATTCATTAATCACCCATTTTCAATTAGAATTTAAGGTCTGTTTTATATTATAATAGCCTTAAATTCATGGTCATTCTTATCCTACCATTCTACCAACATCAAAACAATGACAAATATATTGTAATTCGTGCCTCCCATCCGAAATTTAGAAAAACCTGCGTCAGGTGCTTCCCGCAAGCAATTTCTAAAAAAAATGCTCAAATACAATTTGCAAGCATATCTTCATGACTTCATAGAGTATATTGATTTTTTATAATAGATATAAACAATAAAGTGATTAATTGAATCTGAATATAAAAATCAGCTAAAGCAAAGTTAAAGTTGGGCCCACATTTAAAAATTTATGTCTTCGCCACTGTTTATGTACCATGAAATCTTGTAAAGATCTTGATCCTTTGATCTGTAAGCAGGTTATGGGGAACATTTCTGGCTGATGTTGTGATTCAAAGTTTGGGCACAGACTATGCTCGGGTTCTTAGAGCAATATATGCATTTGCTCAGGTCTTATGCTTTTTCTTTTAATATTTCAATAACATATATTTAATAACCCAATCTAATAAAATATATATGATTTATCCATTTCAGATTCGACTTACAAGAACCTATGGCTGACAGCCTAATACAAGTGAATTAGTAATGAAATTTGCAGTATTTTTATCTTATTTCTCTGTTCTGCTATTATGCCGACACTTATCTTCTGTGTGCTTATCTAATGATCTAATGAGATAAGTGCTTGTGTTCTTATGCCAACTTCTCAGCAGTTTTATTCAACTATTTAGCTGATTTTCTATTTCTGCAGTCTGATTTTCTTTTTTCATGATCTCTTATTTATTTGTTTTGCATCTCTTGTATTTATTTTAGTGCATTGCTTCAAATAATTCCTACTGCTTTCCGGGGCTGTTATATGCCATGTTTTTAGAACACATGTAGTTTTAGGGTTTGATTGGGACGGTTTTCTTACTGCTTCTTAAATCAGTTTTTTAATTAAAAAATTAAATTTTTTAACAAAAAAAGCAGGTAGAAAGTTGTCCCAAACGAAGCCTTAGAGTGCAACGTGAAACAATTACATCGAATTTTGTTTTTTTTTTTAAATATTTTTTAGCTGGATACAATATAAATTCAGCAAGATGATTTATTTTATTTGATAGAATGTATTTATGATATAATTTTCGCAAAAATGGTGACTACAACCACAACAAGATGATGACGACGACGGCGGCAGTAACAACAGCAGCGGTGGCCCGTCATCGTCTTGTGGCCAGCATGACACTAGGGTTACATTTGGATAGCTTTTTTAATACTTTCTAAAACAGAAACAGTTCAGTGAAAAATTTCTTAAATTAATGTCTAAGTTTTGAACTCAAAATGTTTTGTTGATAGTTAAAATTATCAATTAAAAAATCAAGGTGAGCTGCATTACTTGTTACGTATAGGATTTTATTGGTAAATTTTCATGTGAATAAAAAATTTGAGTAATATACATAAATATAAAATTTTAAATATTTAATATGTGAATATATACAAGAAAATTATAATATGCATATAAATTTGCCTATATATTTTTTGAATGAACTCAGTACTCAATTTAAAATTGAGAATTTAAATAAAGGTTAAATAAATTTTTCGAAATCATTTAGATTTCAATTTAAAAAATTAAGGGATGAAAAAATAAGTTTTAAATAATAGGAATTATTTTGAAAAGTCCAAATCATTTTAGTCTCTGTGTACCAGTCAAAATCAGTCACTTTTCCATTGACAAATTTTTTCTAAAATTTAACTCAAAATAGTACACTTTTTTGCTCCCTCAGATCTGAGCTCGAGTACAAAATAGCGTAAGTAGCTTGTTTGAACTTGTCTGTATAGCACACACGAGGAGTTTAAGGTGAAAAGAAAACGGTAAAAAAAAAAAACAAAAAGAGAAGCAGAAGACGCTTTCTCTACTTTCTTCTTCCTCACTTGTTAAACAAAGCTGCGGTTCTCGGCTTTATGGCGGATGCTTTGGTAATACTCGACCAACTTTCTCTACTTTGCTTTTCTACTTTTCAGATTTCTCCGAACTTTCAAAGTTTCATCTTCTTTTTCTATATAAAAATCAAAGTTTTTCCTGCTTAGAAATTAGGGTTTCTCTTCTATCTTCTTTCTCCATTTTGTAAATTCTTATCTCTGCTCTAACTCCTGACGAACTCTTTCAGGAGAAGGATGGAAAGGTTGATGTGGGAGAAGAAGAGAATGAATGGGCAGATTATGATGCAGAGTTCAAACCTATTGAGCATCCAATGGAGCCCTTAGAAGAAGATCAGCCTGTAAAGTGTCCTATGCCCGATTCCTCTCTACTCAATGTAAGAGATATTGTCTCTGTACTCTTTAACTTGAGCTGAGTTTTAGGGTTTCTTATAATTAAATTAATTAATTACACAGATTTATAGTTACAATTGACAGAATTTTTAATTATGAAATATCATTAAGGCATATCTACACTAATTATGAATTAGCATTTTTTTTTAGCATGCTTTTTATTATGTGTGATGAATGTGCTAGATCAAGTTGAGAGTTAGGCTTCGTTTGGTACAGCTTTCTGGTATAAAAAGATTAATTTTTGTACTAAAAAGCTGCTTTAAGAAGCAGTAAAAAAGTTATCCCAAATGAAGCCTTAATCGAGTTTAACTTTTAGCATAACATTCTACTTTTCTAATTAGTACATAAAATGGATCTATCATTCAAATTCTTGTATTCTTTTTTAAGCTCTTCAAATTATGATTTGAGATCATTAAAATGCTTGTCTAGATTAGCATGTTCTTTTGCTAAATTTGAATTTTTCTTTTTAAAATTTTGGAAATCTTCATGAAATTCTTCTAATTTAGAATCTAATCACCAAATTTGGGCGATTCCTAAATATATTGGCTTTGCTTACATGCCAGCCAACCATACCCATTGACCAAGCACCACTAACCGCTGCTAGAAGCCGCCGCATACTGCCCGTTGCCCACTTACTTCCATGCCACGGTTGCTTGTTGCTCTCTCTCTCTTGTCACCGGTGGGCATCGACATCGTTGCTGAGTACTTTTTGTGGTCACCACCCACCATTGACCACCACCACCAGCCTCCATTCATCACCAACTACTTGCTAGTATCATCGTCGGATTTTATAGTACTTCAAAATGATAATATTTTGCATTTGTAGTACCCTCAATCAAATATCAAAAAGTATAATAGACTTCATTTACCTAACATTGCATTCTTTTTACTCATCATTCCTTCTTTAGCAAAGCAAGCGACTTATCGTCTTCAAGTTCTCTCTTCACCCTTCCTTAATGAACTTATATCTCCCTTGTTTTCTTTGTTGAGCGTTCGCATGAACAATTAATTACTAGCTGATCTTCTGTATTATTTACTTACACTTACCCATCCATACAGGAAGGAAAGCATACATTGAAGGAGGCATTGGGAGAGGAATTTCTAAGCATGGAAGAACCATTACAAGATAATGAAGAAAGCATCCCGCTGCAAGCAGATCGCAAGAGGCATCATAAAATTCATCAGGATTCTTCCATCCAGCCACCCTTTTGGGGTTCTCAGTACAATATATTTCAGGTTTTCCAGCAATGTAAAGATTTTTCATCTTGATTTTCCTGAACTTCATCAAGAGATTATATAAACTCTCCTATAAAACATTGTTTTCTACTCTCTATATGAGCTTTTCACCTTCCACTTATAAGACCTAGTGAGGACTTTCATGACGGTACTGATTCGACTATAAAGTTTGGTCATTTGGAGACAAAAAGACTTGCAAGTTGATTTGTAGTGAGAGACAGCTGGTCTTCTTCAATGCAGTGGGTGCTTCGTGTTAGATGCTCTCGCTTTTTCCCCACTTGCAGGCATTGGTAGCTTCAACTTTTGTGTACCATTTATATTAGATTTATTATTATTTTTATTATTAACGTTTTGTTCTGCCTTCTTGAAGAAAGAAATTTGCTTTTTTCTTCCAATTGAAAGAAAAATATATCTGTCGGTCACAGTTCATCTTAGTTTGTTGGTTGGGAGCTTAGGTTATCAACTAATAGGTCTTGAATTTGAGTATTGTGTGTGCGATGTGCGTGTGAATTTGTCTTAATTGATCTAAATGTTCCAAAAAAAAAACAAAGTTATGAAGTCCGAAATCAGATATAAAGATCAAACAATTGATATATGCCTTTTTCTCAGATCTGAAAGGATGAAAGCACAATATGCCATTTATTAATGGCAGTTTTTATATAAGAAAATTTAAGCCCAACAAGTCATGCACTAAACTATGAAAACTGTGAAATGGCAAGCAAGAACTATATACAGAGCTTTAGTCACACCATCCCTACAAAAGACTACTCAGATAAAAACACTAACCTTAGTGGTGTTGCCTGCTCACTCAAATTGGTGAGGGAGTCCTGCGACGGTAATATATGAAGCTAGCAGCAATTAGTCCCTGAATAGAGAAAATGTACAATTAAAAAAGAATACTGGGATCACTTTTTTTTTTTTTGAGACATTTAGGCCAATTAAGACAAAATCACACACACATCACATAGCAAGACTCGAATCCAAGACCTCTTGTTTGATAGCCAAAGCTCTCAACCAACAGACTAAGATGAGCTACATGTAGACATATTTATCAGAGTCAACAAATGTTATGAAGAAAGAAAGCACATATATATATTGAATCTTATCTTGTGCGCAATATAGGGAGTCTATATTTGGGCAAATTATTCTGTGCGGACACCGAATGTCATCCAGAGCCCAATGAAAATGCGTCACGTCACCCCCTACTCGGTATTGCTCGGTACCGAGCTCGGTGTTGCTTGGTACTGGATGACGTGGCTGCATCTGATTCGCCTCTGAATGGTAAGCTGTGTTCGGTGTCCGCATAGAATAATCTCTCATATATTTGTGATTTGAATGCATAATGCTCAGATCATAATAAATTAATCTAATCAATGATGAAATCAAGGAGTAGCTATGCAATTATGTATGTTATAAAATCTGCCCCCTTAAATTTAGGGATGAGCATTTTTGTCTACTCTTACATAAAAATTATAATTCCGCCATTAATTCTAATCATTATTGTAAGCCCGCTTTTTATCTATGACCTTTGTAAGCCATCTTCCACATTATCAGTTCTAACATCTCTCATCAAGAATGGATCCAATAGAAATATAATTGTTATTCTAGACAAGTCTCTCTTAAGAAAATTAAACAATAATTGGTTCAGCATTTGGCCCATCTTCTAAAACTTACAATAGACCAGAAGCCCTGCTGTATTAATTCTCAATATGTACCTTCTTTATTTTTAATTAATTTTGTTGCTCTGAAATAATGGGTGGAAGGAACAAGACAATCAGATATGTTTCAGTATAGTTCATCCGGATCTGACAGTTAGGAGTTGATCATCTGTTTTTGTTTTCTTTCCGTTGAGATTTTAAAACTTTAGCGTTTGAACTATACATACATACAGTGGCAGCTTTACTAAAATCAGCAAAGTATGAAAGAGTGAAAACTTGAACAGTTTGAATAGAAAGATAGATTCTAATAACTCATAAGCCTGTGGTAGCTGTTTGAAGGAAACATCCAAATTGCAACTCAATTACTACAGATGGTCTTTAAATATCCTTTCTCCTCATCTAGCCAATGCTTCGACACTACAATCTATATCCGTTGAGCCTCAATAGCATGCTCTCCTTTAAGATCATATTTATTTCAAGAGACATCTTCGAATAACCAATGATGTTCATATATATGTCCCTGTCATAAACAATTTTGTCAATATATAAATGGTTGAGCTTTTCTCATGCTCATCATCAAAATTTATGCGATGTTTCATTATTCCGCCAAGGTTTTTTAAGCCTAAATCCTAAATTAGTAAAACATTTTGCAAAATGTATCCTATTGTCGGCACATCTCTAATTAGGTTTTTAAGTACTCATAGTGTAAATTTTGACTACTGTCGTTTTTGGGTCATATTATGAGTACAGATAATTGATTAGTTGATCCAAAGAAAATCAAAGCAACAGATGAGTGGCAAAACCTGTCGTTATTTTTAATCTTAGAAGTTCTCTTGGAATAGAAGGTTATTATAGTGAGTTTGCAAAAGGATTCTTCAAATTGGAGTGCAAACAATCCCAAGCAAGATCTATATTCACACTATAATGAAAATATAAACCTGAAATAACACTATCAAATACTCAAAAAAACATAACAAAGCCAATCAGAGATGTCATCCTCACAAGAAGCGCCCATGGAACTCCTTCAAATTTCAAAACCAACAAAAACTTAGATTCTTTATCATTACCTGAAACAGACACCTCGCGTTGATGGTCTCCATGAGGGTAGAAATAAATGTAGTTGCAGACTAAAACACCCGCGAGCTAAATTTTCCTTCTCCATGAGCTCAGATCTTCCAATCTGGATGCGATCGCGAAGTTGATGAGTCCTATGATCATGACTGCCGTAATCGTCAGATCCCGCACAAGGAGAAGAAAGGATGGGACTAGCATACCTCCTAGCTTGCTTTGCAGAAAAGAACCAGAGCCGGTGCCGCCGCATTTCCTGGGCTCAAAGCTAGGGTTTCGAAAACCGATTTCAGATGCTAAGTTGAGGAACGGTTGCAAGTACCTTGGATGGTAATGATGACGACTAGCACAAAGAAGAGGAGGATGACTCCCACTATCGCACTGAAGGTGATGACGTCCATCCTCCGAATTTCACTCCAATTAATCAAAATTTCTAAAAATTGTCCTTCTTTTGATTCCTGACAAACCTAGGACTTGAATTTATATTCCCCAAAAAAAAGGACTTGAATTGAGCGTACGATCTGATAATGGTTTCCGCCTTCGCCGGCGTCGGTTTTGGGATTTCAGGGGAAGTTTCGGTGCCTGTGTGATCTGAAATTTTTGTCGGGGAGGGTAAAGGATTCTGACGCGCGGAAGTAACGAACCTTCTCATTTTCTATATATGTTAGGTTTTTTACATTTTTTATTTGACCCTTATACTACCTTTGTCCCCATTTGAACACCTATCAACAGCTTCGTAACACTTTTGATATATACAGTTCTCAACTTTCATCCCATTCTTACTTCATCTCAACTTATTCACGGGATACTCTCTGCGGGATCTTTTCCCCCTATTTTCATCTCTGTTGTTTATGCTTGCAACAGTGCGGTGGAACGTAGTAGTTTATGGAATCATTTGATTGATTCTATTCCCCCTCTGGATCAACCGTGGATCATCTTAGGAGACTTTAACTGTTGTCGGTTTGAGACTGAAAAAGCTGGTGGCTCTTGTCTTTCGGATAGTAGGTTGGGGGAGTTAAATAATCTTGTTTTTAAATGTGGTGTGCAAGATTTATCTTCTACTGGCCTGCTTTATACTTGGTGTAATCAAAGGCTAAACTCCCCGATCTATATAAAACTTGATAGAATCCTTGTCAATACCGCTTTACTGGACTCTTTGCCGTTGGCCTATTATAAAGTTGAGCCTCCTTTTGGTTCTAATCACTCCCCGTTAATTTTTATCTCAACCCATGCTAAACCTACTTCTGCTAGGTTTAAGTTCAAAAACTATTGGATTAATATGGAAGGTTTCTGGGATGATGTTTACACTGCTTTTTCTGTAAAAACTTCTAGAAGTCCTCTTGCTGCGTTCTCTCACAGTTTGCAATGCCTCAAAAGGTCTCTTAAACTCAGGCATTGGGCTTCCTCCAATTTCTTATCTAGCTCCATTCTAGACCTTAAAGCTAAGCAACACTCTTGCTTGCTTGAGCTTCAAAAACAGCCTTTGGACTCTCTTCTCAACAGCAGCTTAAAAAGTATCAATGAAAATCTTGCCGCTTTGCAATCCCACTGGTCCTCTTGGATTGCTCAAAGAGCTAAAGCTTCCTGGCTAACTCAAGGTGAGGATGACTTAGGTTTCCTATTTGCTAAGTTAAGGCAAAGAAGCAATAAGAATTGTATCAAAGAAATTACCACTGATGAAGGTCACTTTAATACACATTCTGAGGTTTCTAGGGCCATTGTTTCTCATTTTAAAAACCTCTAAAATCCCTCCTTTACTCCTTCGGCAACCCTTAATATCAACCCTGGCAAGATGGTTCCTCCACACTTATATGGCTTCTTGGTTGCTCCGGTTTCTTTTGAGGAGGTTAAATTAGCTATTTTTGATGGTAAGGAATCATCAGCTCCTGGGCCAGACGGATTCTCTTTCACCTTCTACAGAAAGTCTTGGCACTTGATTGGTTTGCAAATTTTTAATGCTGTCAAAAACTTTTTTCTTACTGGTTGTTTTCCCAAAGGCATGAAAGCAACTGCTATCACTTTGATTCCAAAATGTTCCCATGCTTCCCACATTAATGATTATAGGCCGATCTCCCTGTGCAATGCCTTTTATAAAATTGTGGCAAAGGTTTTAGCTAATAGAATGAAGTTGGTTTTACCTTTGATTATTCATGATAGTCAATCCGGCTTCATTGCTAAGAGGAGCTCCACTGATTACATTATACTAGCTTCTGAAATCCTTAGGGATTTCAAGGGCCCTCACAAGAAATTTTGTGCTAAGCTAGATATCAAGAAGGCCTTCGACTATGTTTCTAGAGAATATTTGTTAGCCAGGCTCATTCAAAAGGGGTTTCCTGAAGTCTTTGTTTCATAGATATAAGGTTGCATTATGGATGTTCATTTCTCTGTGTGTATAAATGGCTCACTTGAAGGTTTTTTCAACTCCTCTGCTGGTATCAGACAAGGATGCCCCCTCTCACCCCTTTTATTTTGCATTGTGATGGACGGTCTTTCACATATTCTTTGCAACTCTTCAAACAGCTTTAATGGTATTCATTGCAAAGATTTCTACATTAATCATTTAATGTATGCCGACGACCTTTTAGTTTTTGGAACTGCTTCTAGGGCCAATGTTGCTGCCCTCAAATCCTCTCTGCACCTTTTTGGATCTTTATCTGGACTACATATCAATGCTTCTAAAAGCTCTATTGTTTTCTCTGGTTCCGGGCCCGAGATGCATCAGATTTGTGAGATTTTTGGGATCCATCAAGTCAAAGAGTCCCTCATCTACTTGGGTCTTCCTATCTCTCCCAAAAAACTTCATATTTCTCACTTGCAACCACTCCTGAGCAGAATTTCTGCTCTACTTGATGGTTGGAAAATTAAGTTTCTTTCTTTTGCTGGTAGGGTTCAGTTCCTCAAATTCACAATCACCAATACCATTGCTTACTGGATTCGTGGCTCCATCATACCAAAATCTTGTTGTGCCACCATTAATAAACTTTGTTCTAGATTTCTTTTTCATAGCAATGTTCATGAAAAGAAACTACACCTCATTGCTTGGTCTACTGTTACCCTTCCAAAATGTTTTGGTGGTCTTGGCATTCCTTCGGTTGATGCTCTCTATCATGGTGTATTCTGTTCTTTCATTGGCAGATTCTATAACTTAAAAAACCTTTTATGTGAATGGTATAAATCTCTTTACACTTCACCTTGGAAACCTCCTTCGCCAACTGCGTCTAAGTTCTGGAAAAAGTTACATGTCACTGCCCAAAAAATTAAAGACTTTGTTACCTTCAAGGTTGGCCTTAACTGTGATTTTTCCAGGTACTGGGATCCTTGGCTGAAAGGTTCTTTTTATGTGAATGACCCAAACTGTGCTGTGTTTGATGGTAAATTGGTTAAAGATTTCATTGTTTGTGGCAATTGGTCTCTTCCCTGCTCGATTCTCACCAATACTTCTGATGCGATTGTGGCCTGCAAAATCTGGGAGAACTCTGAAGTTCTCTGGGAGGGTTCGACTTCTTGGGCTTTTAAAGGTTTTACTGCACAATTTTACTCTCATTTTAACAAGGTGGACTGGTACCCTTCGGTATGGCACAAAAAACATACTCTTAAATATGCTTGTTTTACTTGGATGGCTGCCATTGGAAAACTTAAAACGGCAGATAACTTGAATTTACGTGGTATTGCTGTGCCCCTCTCATGCTCTCTTTGCCAAACTCTTCCGGAAAATCACAACCATCTATTTTTTGGTTGTCTGTCTCTTTTTTGATACTCACCAGATTATTACCGGAGTTAAACTGTTTCTTATTAAGGCCTACCTTATTTCAAATTTTTGATTTTATCGAGCTTTTGACGATTTACAATAGGCAAGAAAAAGATTTTTGCTGCCTTACGGTTAGTTGCACTATCTACCATATTTGGTGAGAGAGAAACAATAGGCGTTTCTCAAATGCGAGTTTGAACTCTGTGAAAATTATCTGCAACATTTATTCTGATATTAGATTAAAAGTTTCTAAATGGAAAAACAAAGAAAGGCTGCTGAGGAGGTTTTATGGAATCTAATGGCTGAATTTTTGTCGAGTTTCTGTGCCTCTCGTGTGATTATTCGGATTATCTGGTGCATTTTTTTTTTTGTCTATTTTTTGGTTAGGGAGATCTGGGTATACAAAATTTGTTGGGGACTTTTGTTTTGTGCCCCAGTTTTGTTTAAATTTGGTATACATTTTACTCCTAGCATTACTTTTGGGGGCTGCTGCTTCCTTGCTTCTCAAGTTCCTTCCAGGTTTCTTTTGGAGAGCTATGGACTACAAAGCTGGAATTTCTTGGAGGGATATTACAATCTGACAATGATGAGCAAGGCCATTCCCCTCTCTTGCCATGGATGGCCTTCTCGGCAACCTGGCTTGGATTATATTTTGATGTTGGCTGCTGGAGGTTCTGTGAAGGCCTTTTCTCCTATGCTGCTGCAGCGCCTTGCTCTGGATATTAGGCAACCTGATCCTCCGGCGTGGCTTTTTTCGGGAGCTCTGCACCAGTCTTATGATGTTTTTGGGGCTATGGTCTATTTTATTTCTGAGTCTTTATGATTGTAATATCCACCACTTGCTGCTCCTTTTTTGGCTTGTTGGTTGGACTTGTTTTTGTTTGCTGCTGCTGTAATTTTATCTTCACAGGTTTACTTGTAATTTTCTTTTAATCTAATTTATGGGCTTTCTGCCCCGGGCTTACCAAAAAAAAAAAAAAAAGATTCTGACGCACGGAAGTAACGAACCTTCTCATTTTCTGTATATGTTAGGTTTTTTACATTTTTTACTTACCCTTGTACTACCTTTGTCCCCATTTGAACACCTATCAACAGCTTCGTAACACTTTTGATATATAGTGCAAGAAGGATGCCTTCTTCCATTTTATGGATGTGGGACTAAATCTCACTTGGAAATCAGGAATGGAGAGGTGGGTTATCATTTCTAGTTGCTACTTTGTGTACAGGAACCACTAAGCTAATGATTTGATGTAGGAAATCAAAATGGGCTCACTCAACCCCGACCATGAAACTACGAAGTCATACAATCAAGAAGGGTTGAAATTTGTTCCACGTAAAGCCTTTATATTTGAGAAAGCTTTTTAGTTCTTAGTTGCAAATCTACTCTCAGAACTAATAATAATGTAGCTCTCCATCAACAAAGCTTCTTATTGAGATCGGGTCTGTGGCCGAGTGGTCGATGGAAGAAATTCCTTCCATCTCATCCGGACTCAAATCTCCTAATCGTCCAAAAAAAAACCTAAGGGTGTCAATATTTGGCACGACACAAAAATCCAACTCGAACCCGACCTGGAAATTTCAGGTTAGATCCGACCTGGTTTCAAAACGGGTCAGGTTCGGATTCTCGGATTCAACCCATTTTTCGGGTTGACACGACAGGTTGCCGGGTCAACTCGGAAACCCATTTAAAATGAGCTAACCGTGTTGCCCGAGCCTGCCCTCACTTGCCCGCGACTGCCCGTGCACCTGTTTGCGGCTGCCCCATGCACCTGCACGCGCGCCCGTGCAAGCCCGAGCCTGCCAGCTCGCATCCGTGACCGGCCGCTTCCCGCCGTCC